ATTTGTTAGTGATGTTTGCCCACAAAGGTTCTCTTCAGAAATGGCACATATTAAAGCAATTTTTCATGTTATTTAGGGGGTTCAACCAAACTACCCCTGGCTCTACCCCAACAATGTAATACTGTTGCTGCATGCGCATATATGCGTCAGTGACAGTGTTGAAGACTAATCAAAAGGCTTTTTAACCCATTTAACCCGTGATATTTGAGATTTTGAGGATTTTGTTTGTTACGTGACACAGCAGAAATTTTTCAACAATCATTAATTCACAAATAATCATTAAGCTTATTTTTTAGGTAGAACACTAATGAGCTGTTTTGATTGTTACTACTGATAAAGTAATGAGCTCTAACAAAAAGTTGAAGACGCTATTTACATATACACAGTTATTTATATGTAAATCAACTTAATTTTTATCAAATGAGACCAAATCCACATCTTAAATTATGTCTCCTCACCTTTAGACATGCCCTAGCGAGTTGATGGCTATTCCCACTGATATTGATGCTTTTGTCGTTAGACTTGAGGTATTACAAACAACTGCATTCGTTCATTGCACTAGAAAAAAAATCCTTGAATCAGAGGATCAAAATTAGTTACATGAGGGGAGGCCCCAAACTGACCAAAATGGTGACTCACTAATAAAGGTTTTAGAACTTCAAATCATATACATATTACAAGTGCATGCCAAGTGATCTCTTGACCTTCATGGAGAGTGTGAAAGAAAAAAACCATCCAACATCCAAAAATATCCATGAATAGACAATGTGGCCAGTAAAACAAGTCAATTTGTGAGAAAACTGAGTGATTTCTAGCGTAAAACAACTGCCATTTGAATCTGTAGTCCCTCCTTGTAAGCTCGCTGTACAAATTATTTTACCCTGCAGTACTAGTAGTCATCAATCAAGTAGCAATTTGTAGCTAACTGCGATTATTTTATAGATGTTTTTATTGTGAACAATTCATCAGTTGCATGTTGGCAAAGTGGCACATTAAGATTTGAGCCAGGTATTCTGAGGTTGGCGGTTCGAATCTTGGTGTGGAACTTTTTTCCCCTCCAAGCTACAATGTACATATACTAATGGATGGTTTGCATTTATACAAGTACATGTATTGGGAAATAAAAATGTTCAAGTCATAAATTTAAAGTAATGTAAGTGTAAACGAAAATGAGACGGTATGGAAATTTGAAATAATAAGTGGAAGAAAATCACTTAATCTCAAGTGTCAAATCCTTGCATATGATTTTCGGTAATGTTTTGGTTATAAGCCGCTGTTAAAGCAGTAAATGGATTGAATTATACACTCACCTCTGTTGTATAATAGAAAGAAAAATAGACCTGAAGGATTTGAGTGATAATAATTCTGACATGTTAATTAGTATTTAATACAACATTTTTGTTTAGACTTCTGTTGATTCCTTGGTTATCGAGTATCATGAAGGTCTGTCTTTTCTCAATTGTCACACTTAAAAGCTGTAGAATTTCTACTAACAGCAGTATATGGTTTTCACATACACTTTCTGTATCTGTGTAACATGTCTACTGAATGAACTGACTTTAAAAAGCTGCTGCTAAATTTTGCTCACTAATAAATGTGGATACATGCAATGTACATTAGTTGTTTTATCTAGTGCAATTGTGAAATAGTTATTCACTTTTTACTAACTAGTCATTTATTGTCATTTTTTAGAGTGTTTATCTCTGTCACCATTTGCTTGGTGATGTTTTGGGCACATTTTACTTTTACATCGACCTTTGCCTGGTTCGTCTTATTCAACACTGGTGGTGAGTACAGCTGTGTGTTTTTGATTACCATTACATGACTGTGTCATGCCGTCATGGTGCGAAGCGAGCCATATGGACACTTTGCTGATCAGCACACTGTGAGGTTGATTGTGGATGATGACTGCACCAACATTTACACATTAAAGATTGCAAATTCGCTGCTGGGCTTCAAGTATGCTGGTGAAATTAAAGGGACAGTGTCATGGGCTGTGCATGTGCAAGATTGTTTTTCCATATTGGCTTAAAATTGCTCTTGAGAGGGGATATTTAACCTTACTGGGTTCTTTAAGAGCTAAGAGAAAGTGGATTTCTCAAAACTAAATTGTTTTGCGGTCAGTTTGCATTGAATAATCTTTGACCTGTGCTGTGTTTCTGGCCCCGTGAAGTTGCAAGGTGATCAAGATAACTTCATAATTCACCAGTGTATGCTAATTGTTTTGCGTGAATAATTTTTTTCTCTGGCGTATATCGACGGATTTCCAAGTTAAATACTGTTACTAACAGCTATGTTAATGCAGATTCTACAGCACATAACGATTTAATGGTCATGATGCGAAAATAGCTTGTATCCTGCCGTATTTCACTCTAGCTACATGTACTGTTGAATTGCAACACGATCCACTCATCTTTCAAATCACAGTACTAACCATCTCATGCAAATAATTTTTTTTTCTAAGTTTTATACACCATATCAAAGCTAACTGAATGCAGATTCCAGGGTATGTAACAATTGAAAGGTCAAGATATGTTTAATAACCTAAAAATCATGCCATTTTTCACTTTAGTTCCTATTGAATTGCAACATGAGCATCTATCTTTCAACTTCACAATGCTAACCATGTCATGAAGATTTGGGGGGACTTTTATTTTGCAGATTAGCAATTTTCTGAGGTTTGTGTGAACAAATTTTTGCAGCTCAAATTGACATTATTTTGACTACACATATAGGGTAGTTGTTAGTTGTTAGAAATCCACATTCCCATGCCTATGAAAAGGTTAATCCTTTTATTTTGTAAAATTGTGATAATTACAAAGTTATCTGATGCTTGAATTTCTTTGTTCTAGATGTAGATTGAAACTTAGGTACGTGTAAATATTAATTTCTACTGACATGTACAATTACAGGGTTTTTATGTTGTTAGATTTTCTCTGCACAATATAAAATTTGGCTATTGATTTGTGTTTAGAACTGATATTGAGTTTTTTAATTTAACATTTTTTGGTTATGTTTGTACTGCTGTTTGCAGTGAGTTTCTTGAGCATTGTTTCATTATGAAGATTTTTAATAAGCCACCCTATTAAATTGTACTTGATGTGGTTTAATATGAAATTTATTGTTCAAGAGTTTTAGTGCCCTCTAGTTTAGCATAATCAGTGTKGCACATATATTCTTGGTAATGGTAAATTTCAGATTTACAATCAAACGTGTATGAATTGCTCACATTTTAATTTCAAACCAATTTTTGTTGATTTGATTGATGTTTTTTTTTTCTCCTTCTCAGCAGTATTCAAAACACCCCAGTGGGTATAGTTATACTTTTAAAGAGTGAATGTTATGAGCAGCTAGCCTGAACTCATTAATTTTAACACAAGATGAGATGATGAAAGTGGTATTGACCAGGTAAGTCTGTTTCACAAAGTTGCTGGCTGGAGGGCATAGACATCATTGCTATTGCATGTCTGTTGTCTTCAATGTAGCAGGATGATTTAAAACATATCATTGAGAAAAGCCCAATAAATTGTAAATGATTCTTTAGCAGATTTGTCAGATTAGCAAAGTACATTTGGTTAAAAAGGCAAAATGTTTTTTTTTTTGTTTTTGGAAAGGTTCCTCATTACACAAAGCAGTTCACATACATGAAGATGCTGGACAATCAATCTACTGACAGGCTCTTCAACGTGATTGACAAGTACTTTCTGGAAACTAATGATGTGAGAAACATTCATTTCAAAGCCAAAGCTTAAACAAATCCAATTGTAAGTAAGACCCAGTAGTAAATAGACCAGTTCTGATCAAATATGGCTATCATGTCACCAGTTGTTGGGACAACAGGAAAGCACAGCTTGTGATTATTGTTGTGTGGTTGTTAGTTTTGTGTGGGAAAGTAAGTGTTGATACTTTCAGACTGTGCTATTGAGAGCAGAAGGTTTATGAAAAGGTACATGTAGCAACAGAACTCTTCCTTACTACTACCTGTATATGACTTGAGGAAAACTCAAAACCAACTACAAGGAGGGATTTGATGATAATAGAAAGCATTCTTCTTCATGTGCATGAAGTAGTATTTAGCAGCCTCACATGAGCTAGATAGATGTAATATCAAGATAGAACAGATGAAAATATGATTTTTACAAAAGCTTCTTTCTACATTGTGAACAGTAAATATAGTATGTGATGCCTTTTTCATGTATACATGTATGTTGGTTTCATTTGGCAAACATTTGTTTCTAATCAGCAGTCGAGGATTATTATAAATGAGGACAATCAAATCCTATGTTTGTTTCCCTGATTTTTGTTCTTTGTTTTTAATTTTGAGTACCAGTATTGTGGTTCTCAGTCCTAGCAGAATTGTATATTTTCATTCCTTCATTTTGTTTTTCTGTCCAGGTTATTTTGTTATGTAATTTTTTGCTCCCTTTGCAAAGGAATATAGGAGAAATGTTTCCCACTATTTTCCACATTTGCTAATATTTCAAATCATTTCAGTGTAATGTTACTCCAGCTGGTTCAAAATAATCTAAATTTTAATTTAACTACTTTACTGGTTACCACTTTTTTAGCTTTTGTTACCAAAAGGAAGTCATGTTTTAATTTTCAACTGGTTGATTAGTTGCATGGCTTCCTAGTTACCATTCGATTTGTGGTTAGTTTATAAAGTTTACAATATTGAAATAGTTTACCTGTGTAAGGACTTTGACTGAAAATGCAATGATGATTAATCCTTTGCAATCCTGTTATCTTTTAGAAACCTAAGGATATTTTCTTGCTGTTCTTTCAAGAACTTGGATGTGTCTCATGCAAGTATTCAGAATTGGTGGAATGGCAACCTGTTGAAAATGTACACTGGAAAGGAATGGATATTATGAGAGAAAAACAAAGTGATTGGCAAGAATACTCTTGGGATTACTTTGTCATATGGCTTTTGTCCTATGATTCTCGAGAGTTGAGATGCACATTGTTGGACTGCCTTCATCCATTCAAAGACATTACACATTGATTTTGATTTGTGTTTGTGTCGTAACCTTTTGATTTGGAATGTTATACTCACATCATTAGGTTTCTTGGTTTTAGGGTGAATTGGGTATTACGGCAGTGTTTTCACTAAGACTGTTTCCACCATACAGTACTTGAAGCAACTATTTATTAGGTTTCTGCCTCAGTTTCATCAAGTGTTCTGTTGGGAATAGGTTGCTATAATGTAAATCAGTTTTCAAATATTGTCTCTCTAGGGGAAAGGTTTTTTGGATCCTTAAAATGTTGACCTCCGACAAGTCCAGCCTCATGGTTTCCATTGAGCAAAATTAAATTTTTTATATCTTGCATATTTATTTGCATTTGAATGTAATTAATAATTTTATTATATGGCTGTGTCTCACAAGGACTGGGAACTACCGAGTTCACAAATTTGATTGGCTGAAATCAATATTGACCACAGTCTAGATTCTCCCATCTAGACCGGCATCTAGACCGGTTTCATTTTGCGTTGAAAAAGTAGTAAACTCAAATACAAAAATGTTCACTGTTTTCTTTTATTTTCTTCTCAATCATTTATGGAAGTGCCAAAAAGCCTGATGACAAAACAAAAAAAGTAAAGAGGACGAGAAATTTTGGCAGGTTTAAGTTAAGCTCATCTCTGTTTGCAAGCAAAATGTCAGCAAACCAGTTGCATTAAATGAATTAAAGTTTTCTTCTTTGCTGTATAAGAAACATCTTATTAACCGAGCTAAGTCGGTCTGTATGGGAGAATCTTGACCACGGTTGTGTGTACAGACCTCACTGTGTTTGGTCTGTACTCATGACCTTGGTCAAGATTCTCCCATGCAGACCTCCTGCTCGGTTAATAAGAGCTAAATAATATTAATGACAAACATGGCCTTGATTAGAAAGTAATGTGTATACATGTACTTTTATTTTCTTCAGGCAGATACCGTAAAATCCCATGTTAAAGTGCTGGGCTTATATAACTTCACAAGGGGTTTTGGGTGGGCTTATAAATGGTGGGCTTATATCTGGGGGAGGCTTATAAGTGGAATAAATATTCGGGGGAGGCTTATAATTGTGGACTTTAACATGGGATATTACGGTACTTGTTGTTTGATATAGTAAATGAATTTCCTGATATTTAAGTTCAATCTTTTTTTCTTCAATGCATGTTTCTACTTGCATATACAGTCAACTCGTGATAACTTAAGTGCGTATACAGTCAACTCCTGATAACTTAAATAAACAAATAAAGAAATTATTTGAATGACTAGACTGTGTTATTCATTTTAGCAATATATACAATATTCAACAAATGTAATTTCCCCTTGTAGTAGTAGTAGAAAGGGATCAGACAATATTCTTACACTTTGTTCTGACACCCTTTGAGGAGATTGTCACTTTAGACTCTATAGAACCTTTTGAAACCCACTTCTAAAATCCTGTCTGAAAGAATTTTTTTGTGCCAAGGTAAAATTTGTTGAGGTGTGGTAAAACGTTCTATGCTGGTTTTTGTTTGATCTGTGGCCAGTCTGTAATTGTGTGGAACATGCAGTTAGAAAGATGTAAGCTTGAAAAATCTTCCATTTTTTTAAAAAATATTTTGCTTGTTTTAGGTTGTTCAAGTATTCAACAAGTTACTGACACCAGTGTTGAACTACTTATGCAATTTATAACAACAGTTTGATATCTCTAGCAGATAACTATGTCCACAATCTGTAGTTTGTGTTTCCAGGAAGTAGTCTTTCCCTGCTACAGTAAGGGTTTTTCTTTATTACTCACTGCTACCATGGCCTGTAAGTTTTAGTGTTTTTGCAGTGGCTTTTTTATCCCTGGGTGAAGATATATTTTCATTCATACCATGCCATAGAAAATACAGCCAATCAGAAATATGCAGTTAGGCTGTTGTATAATCGACAGTATTGCACCCAACCTTCCCAAATTGTGGGCCATGCATAATTATGTCTTATCAATTATACGTGTTGGCCACTGTATTTTCTATGGCATGGTATAAAATAATTTTGAAACACTTCTCGTGTTGCACCATGGAATATCCCACTTTTCAATTGTTCTTTTCTTGGTATAATCACTCGCCTAAAGGCTCGTGTGTATATTGAGAAAATACAGTGACTACTAGGATATTTTGTGGTTTATACTACTTGAAAGCATTGCGTAACTAGTATGTATACTGCCTATATTGTAAGCACATGTCCATTTTGTGTAGCGGATTTGTTTCTTAATGAATTCCTGGGATTCATTAAATTTGTTCCTATTAGGCCTGCATAAATTGAAATGAATTAAATTGAATTAATAAAATGTATTGTATTCATTAGGAGACTGGTTGCTGGGTTTTCCTTTTTCCTGGTTGCTCATGTCTATCAGGTGCCTATCTGATATGCATTGATTTCAGAATTGTTGGAGAGGAACTATATATTAGAGTAAGTGTCTACTAAATTATTTCATAAGTTGCAGTCAGCACTTGAACTTGTTGTGTTACTGTTGCGTTACTCATGTAGCCTTACGTTCTTACCTGTTTTCTGGACTTCCCGTATATCACTCCACTCTCGTGGCTTTCTGAATGAAAATAGATTTAAACTTGGCTGCAAGCGTGTACTTCTAAGTTATATATTTTCTATTTTCTTCCTTTAAACTTTTTGTGGCTATAACATCTTGAAATTTGAAGTCTTTGAATTAATCAGTGAAATTGTATACGTGTTGATGTCTTTGAATAAATATTGAAATAAATTTTCTGACTAATCTGTCATTGTTTTTTTTTTCATTTGAATGATTGACTGATATTCTTATTAGATATCCCTTTTATTTTTATTCCTATGTTAATTGTCCAGTTATAATATAAAAAGGCATACATTGTAAATCCATGTTTGAATTCACTGTAAACGATTTCCTTTGTCAAAACATTGCCCTTGTGGGCCTGGTGACCTGGTAACTAGTGCCGCGGTCTGCGGCCGGGCCGGGGTAGGCGGGAAGATTTGTTGAAACGAACATGGTTGCATGAACATGTGTTCTGCTGTTCTCTTCGAAATTTATCACTGGAGTCCCGCTTTCCTCTAGTTTTTCGATAGGAGATGAAACGGGTAAGTTTCAATGCATTTTGTCTTGCTAGTGCATTATATTTTATCGGTAAAGCAAAGCGTGGTTGTTAATTTTGACCGGTGCGAAGCGTCTGTTCGTACTGGAGCATGGCGGTGCAATGCTGTGTTTAAAGAGCACGTGGAAGACAAGTTGTTGGTTTCGTTTTTGCGGTTACATGTTCGGGATAGTGAACAGTGTTTCTTTATCCTATTCTCTAGCGTTATGCTCCGAAATGCTGCTTGATAACTTATTTTTTCTTTCCATTTAATGGCGGGCTAGTAATTTGAGCCCGTGTTTGTTCTGCAAAACTATTGCAAGGATTCAGTTTATGCATTGCGGTAAGAATGTCATGTTTTTGCTTGTATTAAGCTTATTGGATATAACGATATGGAGTAGTAGTAGTTGATTTGCAGTGTTTCAGCTTACTCTATAATATATTTTGTTCGAACGAGTGGATGATTTAGTCATTTCATTTGCTTGGGTGGGGACTTTTGTTGGTCTAAAAGGTGGTTTTTTTTTTCCGGCAAAAAAACTGTAAGCTCACTGAGGTTGGGATAGTTTCCTGTCAATGGCCGATGTAAAAAAAGATGCATTTTTGTTTTCATTTTGTAGCATTATGTTTGGTTATGAGAGGTGTTTTTCCGACTATATTGCCCATTTGATAGTTTCAAGTGTGATGTCCACGAGATGAATTTTGAGTTAATTGAAAGGAAATGATTAGAGCAGTCTCGTGTTTTGAACAACCTGTATATCGTGATCGTAAATGGACATTATATCTTTGAGGATAAATGAATATTTTGTTGCTGTATCGTATAGCGTTTTGTAAGAAGAAATACCGTTATGATGTACCCTACAGAGGCCCTTTAGGGGGCTTTTTGGTTATGGGTTACTTAGCTAAAAAATTAATGTGACACGGGATGTTTGTTGTTAAAATTAATGGGATGTTAGAAATTGGATGCCATAAATCCTTGAATTGGTGCCCAGGTGCTTATTTTAAATTTAGGATAAGATGAGGGGTGCTTATGTGAGGGAGGCACTTAATCAAGGGGGCAGGGGGGG